CCTGCTGAAATAGATGTATTTAGTTCCAAGAGGCTTCCTGGAAGGAAAGGGAAGTTTTCAGTCTCTTTGTGTGTTCCACTCTGTGTGACCTTGGACAAGTGACTTGACTTCTCTGAGCTTCTCTTTCCTCATCAGTAAAGTGGGCATGGCTAACCTTGTTCTCATCTTGGTTAGGCAATATCCTGCTCATAAAGGGTAGTGATAGTGTCAGGCACATGGCAGGTGCTTACCTAGTGATGCCTTCCTGTCCTTAAGCCGGACTTTGAAGGAAAAGGGAGGGAGGGAAGGAGGGAAGGAAGGAAGGGGGGAGGGAGGTAGGAGGGAAGGAAGGAGAGAGGGAGGAAAGGAGGGAGGGAGGGAGGGAAGGAGGGTGCTGAGAACCCCAAGGGTGGCTTTGGAGCCACAGCAGGCAGCTTCAGCTGGGCCTTGGTTGTTTAGGCAGTAATGAATGGTGAGGGCAGGTGCTCAGTGAGGTTGGTCCCTTGGTCAGGATTCTGATGCTCAGACCTGAGTTAGGGCTTGTGATGGAGACTGGGAGTCTTTCCCAGCAGTTTCTAAGGAAAGAAATGAGTGGTACTCTTAGAGGAGCACCATTTTCGCTACCATTCCTGGGTAAACTTGAGATCACCCTAAGCATGTCGCACAGAAAATAACGTGCCTGCTTGAGCCCACACAAGCTGCTGCTTGAAACCGAGAGCCCCCAGCTGCCCCTCACCCCCGTGCTCCAGCTAGGACAGCGAGACAGTTAGCAGGGGTACGCGGTAGTGTGGGAGCTGGGATTTCAGGTATCCCAGACCATGGCTCAGGCCGCAGCCTGGATGGCAACGAGGGAAGAGGGCTTTACATGGAAGCAGACTTAAGAGACCTTTGCTGGTGTGTCCTGGAGCCAGCAGCTAAGAGGCAACTTGTCCCACAGGACAGTCCAGGGTGTGGTCAGGAGAGTGGGCTGCAGCCAGGCTTCCTGGGTTCCAGTCCTGGGAGAGATGCCTCACCTCTCTGGTGCGAAATGGAGTGACCCTTAAGGGTTGATGTGAGGATTCTGCGGGCCAGTCCAGGTACAGCATTCTGACCAGGACGCTGTCCACAATGAGTGGCAGGAAATGTTAGCTGGGATATTCCACTGTCACCCTCCCCCTCCCCTGCACGGGAGAGTGACACTGAGCGTCACTGGGTAATGGGTGGCCAGAGGACATCACTACTGACTGGCCCAGCCCAGCCCCTCCTTCCAGACACACAGGAGGGCAGCCTCAAGCTCCAGGGCTTGGCTTAGCTCCCTGCTCCCCCACTTTCGAGGTTACACCGAAAGCATTATTACATGGTGGTTAAAAACCCAGACTTTAAAATCAGACACTGAATAGACATTTCTTCAAAGAAAATACAAAAACGGCCAAGAAGCATATGAAAAGATGCTCAGTGTAGCGTCCTTAGCCATCAGGAAATGGACGTTCCAACTACAGTGAGATACCACTCCATACCCACTAGCGTGGGTAGAATCAAGAAGACAGATAGCAACAAGTGTTGAGGACGTGCAGGAACTGGAACCTCCCTATGTTGCTGGTGGGAGTCTACAATGGTGCAGCCACTGTGGAAGACAGCCTGGCAGTTCCTCAAGAAGTTAAGCCTAGGGACTTCCCTGGCAGTCCAGTGGTTAGGACTTGACCTTCCAATGCAGGGGATGCAGGTTCGATCCCTGGTCGGGGAGCTAAGATCCCATGTGCCTCGGGGCCAAGAAGCCAAAACATTAAAGCAGAAGCAATATTGTAACAAATTCAATAAAGACTTTTAAAATGGTCCACATCAAAAAAAAAAAAATCTTAAAAAAAAAGAGTTACCATATTACCTAACAATTCTATTCCTATTACCAACTCTATTACCTAGAGTTACCATATTACCTAACAATTCCATTCCTACATCTATCATCAAGAGAAATAAAAATATATGTCCATACAAAAACTTGCGTACAAAGTTCATAAAAGCATTATTCATAATAGCCAAAAAGTGGAAACAACCCAAATGCCCATTGGCTGATGAACAGATAAAGCGTGGTTTATCCACACAGTGGGATATTATTCAGCCATAAAATGGAATGAACACTGATATGTGCTACAACGTGGATGTCCCTTGAAAACATGTCACGTGAAAGAAACCAGTCACAAGAAGCCACCTATTATATGGTTCCATTCATATTAAATGTCCAGAATAGACAAATCCTTAGAGATAGCAAGCATATTGATAGTTGTCAAGGGCTGGAAGGAATGGAAATGGAGAGGAACTGCTAAGGGGTACAGGGTTTCTTTTGGGAGTGATGAAATTTTTCTGGAATTTGCTGATGGCAGTGGTTGCACAACTTTGTGAATATACTAAGAAACAGTTAATTCTACACTTTAAAAGGATGAAATTTATGGTATGTGAATTATATTTCAATTTTTTAAAATGGAGATAGGCCTGGGTTCAGACCCTGGCTGTGCTTCTTGCAAGCTGTGTGACCCCGGGCAAGTTACTTAACTTCTCTGTGCCTCATTTTCCTCATCTGTAAAATGGGCACCAAGAGAGTACTTATTTCCTGTGGTTATTATGAGTATTAAATGAGTGAACTAAAAGTGCCTAGCAGGGTCCTAGCACAGGGTAATAACATTTATTAGGAATTTTGTAGTATTAGCTAATGTTACTGCTGCCACAATATCTATCTCAACCCAACCATCCTATCACCTCCCTATCACCTCCCTTTACTTTTTATAACATCGGAAAGCTTTTTACTAATGGGATAATTTACTTAAAAGTATGTTGTAAAACCTGATTTGTAACATTTTGTTCATAATGCAGTTGTGTGTATAAACTCTGACGTGGTTGACAAGTGTATGGGAGCGATTACTCATTCTGTGTGGATTCTAGCCCATAATAGTGTCCTCTGTGTCACCATGAGGGAGATGTGCTGGGTTCACTGCTAGCCAGATATCTCCCCGGTTTTAGTGTATTCCACTCACCACCGAGCACTTCCTGCTCCAATTGTACAGCTCAGGGCACTGCTCGTAAGTGGGGCAAGGCCTCCACCGTGCCTGATGAGGTGGGCGTCAGGCTCAGTGCAGTGTGAGGTCCTAACTCCTGTTTTCAGACTGAATACCCACCTCTACCCCCTGCCTATCAGCTCCTCCCCAGAGCCCCCCTGCTCTACAAATAGAGTGGGGATGCTGGTCCCCAGGGCACCAGAGCACTTATCAGGCAAAGGGAGAAAATTAAAAGGAATTCTTTTTTTTTTAATTTTAAAGAGTCTAGGTCCCTGGGACTGGCTTGGATTTTACGCTCATTCACTGGAGATGCTGTGGGATGGAAAATCTCAGTTTCCTAACGGAATAACTCATAGCAATACAGAAAAGATATTGACTCATTACTCTTTTCCACCACTATTCT